CTGATGGGGCTTTTAAGTGCATTTCCACCCATTTGTGTGAGTGTTTTGCAGTTGTTCAAGAAGCTTTTAAGCTTCCTGGGAAGGGGGAAATTGAGATGTATAAATTCGGGTGTTTGAAAGAATTGAAGCAGAACAAGATCAGAACCCAAGAAGCAAGGCAGCAAGTCTGTGTGCTACAAGAATAAAACTTTGTAAAAACTTGAACTCAAGACTTTGAAGATTTTTTACTTTGCATTGGACAGCATTACAGTCCAACACTTGAACACCTAAAGGAAGATCTGGTAGAAAGTTGTGTGAGAAAGCAACAGCAGGAGCAGAAGGAATTTTCCTACAGTTCATTTGCAAACAGGAAGCATCAGAAATATTTTACAGTCGACATATGAAGGTTGTCTCAGTTCTGTGCAGGATTAAATTTTTCTATTATTGGTACAATTTTGAAAAAAAATTTTCAATGACAAATAGTTTTAGGAATCTGGAATTTTTTTCAAGTTTTTAAGACTTTTTTATAGCATTTTTGGCGCACTGCGTGTTGAGTTGGGAAAACTTTCTCATTACAGCCAGTTTTACACTCATTTCACGCTGCTGAATATTTACAGAAATTGTTCAAAATTGTCAAATTTTTAAAGTATTTTATCTGATTACTAGGACATAGTTCAACAGTAATCAATTCTAAACCAGAAAATAATCCGTGCACAGTACTGCAATTGCAAAAAGCTATGCTCGTATTTTCTAGCTTGACAATAGAAGGTGTGTCAGCTGAATGGAAAGGTCCTTCTAAAGCGACTTTCAAGAATGAATGCGAAGCAATTTTCAAAGTGTTTTCGCGGGGCTTGATTTCTATTGCCACTGTGTTGCATCGAACCAAAGAAGTGAGTATTGTAGCCGCATCTTCTCTCTCTCACATTTTTCGATTTGATAATCTTTTTCTATGTTTCGATTGTGATACAAGGTTCGCGATTTCTTCCCCACGATCATGGAGAAGGTTTTGGAACCGTTGCGAGGCATGAAATGGAATGAGGAGCAACTCGAATGTTTTCTGACTTGCTACGTAGCAGCTGGGATGAAGTTGGATTTGGCGAAAAAGTAAGTTCCTGCACGGATTGGCTCGCGTTTTGTACAAAATGTTTTTGAAAGTTTTGCCACCAACTTAAATTTAAGTTTTTCGGATGTTCAGGTTTCCAGATTTGAATCCACGAAACTGAGCGGAGATCCAGATTTTTTTTAATTGGGCGTCACTTAAAAGATCGGTTACATTATCAATGATAATATTTTTTTATAAATAATTGTTTTACACTGAGACGCAAACGGATGTTTTTTGAACGTAGGCGTCACTTGCAAGATCGGGTAAAGTATCGATGAGAATATTTTTCTATCAATAAAAAATATTCTTTTACTCTGAATATTCTTTTTTTAGCGCTTTCAATTCCAGGAAACACGAACCTCGTAAAGGTCAACTTTTTTTACTATCATCTTTGGTTGGATTTAAAACAACGCGTTTTTTTAGATTTCAATCCAAATGACCAAAAGTTGGTACCATGGTCAGGGATATGTTCTATTACTCATAAAGAATATAAATGTGTATCGAAATCCCTCCAGCCAACGACATAAGCGCAGGCCTAACGAAAGTCATGAATCAAACGTCGTATATGCAATTTTCTCAACTTTTCAAATATTTCTATGGTTTCGTGGATGCAGGGTTGCATAATCTGAATGCTAATATTTCTCTTTTCGAATAGGAGCAACGGACTATGCGTGAAAAGCTTATGGACACGATACATGAATACGATGAAGATATGTATCCAAGAGCTGCATTGCGCTTGAAGAAATGCGCTTTTCTAGAAGTTCGGGAAAAATTGTCGATTGCATCCGTGTGTTCTCAGTCAGCGTTATGAGCATTATTTTTCAATGTGAGGATTTTTATATGTAATGCGGAAAACAGGTGCAATTCTTTTCATCCCCTGATGTGAGGTTTATTTTGCATGGAGTTGACTTCGTAATTCTCTACTTTTTGTTGACCTGAGACGCGGATGGAAACTCGTAGCGTTCCTTGATGGAAAATTCGGATTCTACATTGAAAGTGAGTGAATTTTGACGCTACAGTATTCAAATATGATTTGGCGAAACGTCAAAAAGATTTTAGTGGAAGCTACATTGAAGAAGTCCGCAACAGGGTACTTTCTCGTGATTCGGTGCCAGGAACTCATAATTATCAATCCGTTTTCAAGACATTTCGAGTTGTTGGCCTTGACATTTTATTGGTACGTCTCAAATACTATGCTAGATTCGTAAATTTTTCGACGAATTTCAGGAGATCGGGAATTTTATCTTCAAAGGAAAGCCCACTTTTGCAATATCATTCACGGTATCTTTCATGGCAAATCATCATGAGAAAACCTACTTTGGCATTTTGAACTTCGGAAGAGCATTTCAACTTGAAAATACAACATGAAATCAGAAAGTCTTTTATTTGAAATGCTTGTGAAGTTTGATTTGTTTTTGTAATTTCATTGTAATTGTTTGCAAATTTTTATCCTGAACTGCCAGAAGGGCTGAAATAATTAACTAACGCGTTGAATGTCTTCTTTGCTTTTTGTCTCTTATCTCAATTTGTTGGTTGCTTGTTAGGATCAGCTAATGTTGAGAAGTATTAGTCTTATGGCAAGGGTGATGCAAAATGAATCAACTTCTCTAATAAAAAGGTATAGGTGTTTCTATGATTCAATCCCAGAATCAACAGTCTCAAACAAATACCAGACCAGCAATGAGAGTTGAAAGAGTATTTGGATGCTCCTTTATAGATTCATGGGATGCACGTAAAAGGTGCATGGCTGTGCAGAGAATAGGTTTGAAAGTAAACCAGGACAGATTGGAGGAATGACAGTTGACCAGACATTGTTGGTGATTTGGTCTAGTGATTCTGGTTGTTACCAAGTGGAATTGGGGATGCATGAAAGCCACAATGAGAAAGAAGTATTCTTATCATATTGTAGGAACCATTCAATTATATGATGAAAAAATATTTGCAGAATGTACTATTTTTTTAAATAAAAATGGTCCAAATTCTTTTTTGTACTTTGGCAAAATAATCATCTTGTTTGAAAATGTGCCCTCTCTGATCCCAGAACAAATAATATTTACCAAAGTACTGTATTCACTCAAGTACCATGCACACCTTTTTCTCAAAATTAAGAGGAAGGAAGGGATGCTTGTCATAGGCAGTTCGTAATTATTATATCTTCATTTTTAGAAGTTTAGGGGTGCATTATATTTTATTCAAATGGGATATTTTATACTTATTTCAAGAGAATAAAGTATTGTATTGGAAATAATGGAAAATTGTTTGAATCCAGGCTCAATTCATGTGTGAATTCAAATTGTTGGTGTTTGTATTTTTGAAATAGTGCCGTTTTAGAGGTACAATACATTACCTGTCATAGAAATGGGGTGTTTGTATTATTCAGAGAAACACTTTTATTTTTAAGAAATTCACTGGAAAATCCCTGATGCGCTTCTTACTTATTGAGGGTTTGTGATACTGAGGGGAATTTTTTATTGAATGTTCAAAAATTTTACACTTGTGTGTGATGCTCACTCCGCTTGTTGGTCTCAATTTTAGCCCAAAAAGTTCAATCATTTTACTCATACGTGCATTCAATGATGAGAAAAGGGATGTTGCAAGTGCACTTATTGCAAAAACTTATGAACCGACTCTTGTTTTATTTATAGATCAAACGAATGTAACATTTTCACACCGCAAATTCCGCCACGTATCTTTTGTTGTTGTTGCTTATTCTAACTAATTTTTCTTGAATGAATGAATGAACAGAAAACTTTATTTGCTGCTTTTCATCGTTCACAAGGCACAACCAAGACTCCCGCATCCAAACCCCCTCCCCACCCAACCCAACTCCCCCAGATACATTCAATAATTTCAAAGCATGAAACAAAGCACAAACAAATGACAAAAATAAAAGAGAACACACTCCACAAAATAAAACTGGACATCCTACACGTATGTTGCATACACCCACCCATTAATTATTTATTGTTTGAACAGATTTACCGCGTACTGAGCCGCAGGAAAAATGAATCTTTCACCGTATTCAACCGAACAATGAATCCAACATTGATCGCGTATAAATGATAAGCAACTGCTAATTGGTGGTATCACATGATCGATTCTGGATTCTTTTACGTCAGTGAACCACGAACCACTTTCATCATTCCTCGCTTCACTCAGAGAATGATTTGATTGAGTTAAATTGATGCATGCGAAGTTGAGAGAGTTGGATGTTCATCAGTCCTCTCGCGCGCTCTCAGTTTCCGTAAACTTTCCCGGGTCTTATTTCTAATTTAATCTTCACCAGAATCGAGGCTTGCAATTTGTGTGCAGGGAAGGCAGGACTCATTAGTCCCACAGTATGGTATGCACGATATGTTCACCATTACTTTAATGACGGCTTCGTTATTCCCCAAGTACATGTTAATGAGGACTACGTCGTTTTATACAGATCAAAGCCATTTCGCATAGATCATAACAGACGCTCAGAACTCGTCCTTTTTGAAGCGTAATATGCGAACTGATCTATGTGAACCTCAGGCTTCATCACAAAACCGTCTCAAGACCGACAATAATCAGAAAACTCACAGAGAAACAAAGCTGGTCAAATCTCGTTTGATGCATATAAAACGGGATTTTCACGTGTTATTTTACCAAAAACAAAAGGCCGTGAATCCTGGGAGTTACGAATTCGATATCTTTACATTTTCTTCAAATGAATGGTTGGTCTGTATAATAAATAGTGAACCATTGAGGACATCATATCCCGACGACTGCATGTATTTAACGCGTGCTGGGAAGAAAAACTGTAATATATGATTTTTAAAGCAAAGCAAATCCCAGTTCGATTCTTCATCTACTTTGCTAAAGAGAAAAATGAGAGGTATAATCTTTGTCCTGACGAAGCTACATCAACGTTGACTACATCAAATGTTGACCCATTTTCCATAAAAAAAAGTATTGGAACCCAAGATGGAAAAGGTAAAAACCCTTCCTGATGACTTCCATATTGACTGCCGAGATGATTACAGGATGTTACGCCTTTCTCAGAGACAAATTGTATGATTAAATTGACAGGGTATACTTTCGCAGGTGTATAGCAGCGCGTGAATTTCCATGTGTGAGAAATGCAATTCAGTGTAATGAGGAAATAATTGGTGCAATGCACCGTATATATTGTTCACACAACGCTGCGCTATTTCACGATGAAACTATCCCGCGATGAACCGAAATCAACGAAGCGTTCGTCGAAATTGTGATTTTTATCTCGCAGAACGAACTGGTTGTTGTTGACTAGCATGTGCCGAGGACGCGCGTCGATGCACATGTTATCCATAGAAAGTTGGTGGGGTACTGGCATCGGGAAATCGATCATGTATACCTACACACCATGATCCAGTGGATGGGCTCGGAGAATGGTAGGACGATACGACGCGGTGAAGTACTGATTTTCTGGGTGCGATGGAAACAGAGAAATCAGATCAGCCGCAGGTGAATTGCGGATTTCCTCGGATCATTGCTCGCGATCGAGCAACGGGAAACCTAGAGAGCTCCGATTACTGCATCTCACCAGCAGTCGTTGACTCAGTTTTCCCCGGCATCTCGGGATTGAAGCAGTGAATTGTTGTCGTTGAGCTCTTGATTGCCAACAGGCAAACCCTGCCCGAGCTAGCCAACTTTCTGGGGAACCGGGATTCATCAATCTTTCCGCAGGGGAACGCTCCAGAAAAGATCCTCGCCGGCGTGAAGTGCCAGCCTTCAGGATGAGACGCATTCATGGACACTGTCGACTGCTGCGAGGATCTCTAAAAAATCTTACCCAGGGAAAGTAATTATCGTCTCCTGCCGTCGATGCTCCGGAAATTATCGGAACTTCGCATGTAATTAAAAGAGGAAACCCCCATTCCGGTTCAATGCTGTACATTTTGGAATTGGACGTGTCTTATTCTATACATCGCAGCCAATTTCAAACTTCGTTGAATGAACACTTCAAACCTATAAAATCCACTCCAAACTCATGACCAAGAGTCAATTAGTTGTATAACGTAAACGCGGCGAAGAAAAATGAGAGTAAGAGACGGTCTTCAAGCTTTCCAGTTAAAATAGGAAGGACCCAAAACGGAAGTGAATAATCAAGGAAGATAAAAATTACTTATGTAAGTTTGCGATTAGATGTTTCGACCGAAAAGTATTTGCCAAGCTGGGATTTCACTAAAGTCGCATCATTACCGTAAACAAAAAATAAAAACATTTCAGTTGCTTCATAATTATTTGCCGCTGTTTCTGCCGAAAACTGAAGTGTTTAAATTATTTTGCCGATGAGCATTGTCGACTCATTTTTATTTGCTGCATTAAAATTTGAGATTTAATCACGGGCAAGTTTTAGGTCAAATAAAGTTATTATGAGTGATGTTTATGAGTCTTTCAACTCCTTACCCGTGGTTCAATTCCTGTGATATAAGGTCGGATATTATCTTGGCACTGTGTATCGGCGAATTTTTCCTGAAAGCTTTCATTACACTGTACGTTGATCTGCAAGATATATTACTATGTTCGAGTACTTATTGTGTGTATCGTAAACAAGCTTGAGCCTATTCTACTCTGCATTATTATACATCCCGAACATGTTTTCATGCCAGCTGCGTAATTGCGAAAAGAACTATAATCATTTTTCCCCCGACATTGCCACTTATCATGTCATGAAGCGCACCAAGATTGCGCTGATATTTACAGGCATGTCACGAATGGCTTTGACGAACATAATAAATTGTAACATGAATCCTCGATTTTTTTCGCTTTATGCATTGACGCAATGTTTTTGTACAAGAATGAAATATCTACACGTTACGCTGTCATTTGCTTCGCGTGTAAACATCGGAAAATTTCAAACAATCTGTCAGGGCTGACTCTGTTCCAAGCAAATTGCACTCAGCACGCATAAAGAAAATTTCCAATGTTTTAATATGCTGTAACAA